TTTTTTTTTTTTTTTTTTTTTTTTTTTTTTTTATTTTTTTTTTTTTTTTTTTTTTTTTTTTTTTTTTTTTGTGGAGATTGGATGTCATTGTAGGGGATGTATATCTCACTTAAGAAGAAGTAATAGTTGGAAGTTTCGAATGTATTACTCAGGGATACAGTGATACTTATGTGGCATTTAGCAGGATCATACAAATATAATGTGTTTAGCAGCATGTGCTACAAACATTTCAATTTGCGCAGACACTTAACATTGGAGTGAACACTTTGATCAGGTTTTGTCAGGCAATAAACATCGACGCAAAGTTATTTAGTCCAAAATTACGTTAACGTACATGTAGTTCTGTAAACACACATTTGAAAACCAAACTGCAACGTTATATAATTTTTGGCTGGGCTACTTTGGAATCATGGTTGTTGATGACGTTAACAACAGACCACTGTTGCAAACAATGTCTAACCACTCGGGTGGGCGGACCGGAATTGTTTTAGTTGGATTAACCTTGACAGGAGAGGGAGAGAGTAGCAATTGGGTACCTATTGACCGCGGGTGACGAGACCTATGGTCCGATGAGGTGGGGACTGCTTGAAGTCCAGAGTTGGATTAGAACCATGGTGATGGCTCTTTCTCTTTGTGCCCACGCACCCAAATGATTTCACACCTGCTGTTCCCCTTCCGCCACCCCAGGATCGATCCGCCATTGACTAATAAAATGAAATACAGTAGAGCCCCTCTTCGGACATCCCTATTCTAGGACACCCCAGACTTTTTTCCACACTTGGCGAATTTATTAGCGCGAATCGAAATCGTCAGTATCTTTGAACACTATGGCCAACCCTTATTAATGGGACGGGGACACTTTTAGAGTGTACCCAATCTCAACCCCTACCCCTATTAAGGGGGCACTGTTTTTTTTTTTTATCGTATCACTAATTATTATTATTATCTTTTAATCGTTAGTACAATAATAAATGCAGAATAACATTTCATTCAAGTTTATATGTTGACAACTTTGGGCTATGCCTAAATTTAACATAAATTTTACATGATCCTTAAAATTGATATTGGGTAGACCTATACTGTAAATGCTCGAATAAGCGCAGCACGAAACCTGATTTTTTTTTTCTGTAAGCACTGCTCTTGAATAAGCGCCGTATATATTACCCTGTGTGTAATGGAACACTTGAAAAACAGGGTTTTAAATAAAAGGTATACAGTGTTAAAATGATTAAATAACACAATGATAACATAAGCACTTTTTATAAACGTTTATAAAAACCTAGGACGTATAATAAACCTACTGAACTACGGGAATACGTGAGATTGGTAACATGGGAATGGGCATGGAAAGCAGGGGAGTATCCAGGATTTTTCTACCTTTCCACAATGAAATTAACAGCAAGATGTGAATAAAATGTCAATACAATTAAAAAAAATAGAAATTGTTACCGAAATGAATGGAGATAGATTACGTCACGCAATTTACAAGGTCTTTGGACTCATTGCTGGTACCTCATCAATGCTTTTTCATTTATGTCATTGGCCCTCGAAAAAATGTCTGGAAAAATGTGGACCTTTGAAATTTTTTTTGGTGGGGGGGGGGGGGGGTGTCGTACGACATTCCCGACCCCCTTGCATACCCCCATGGAAAGCACCACCCCAATATGTCTTTTTTTATAAGCGACGCTCTCGAATGAGCGCCGCACTGAATTCAAGTCTTCAAAAATGTTACGAGCGCCACGGCGCTTATTCCAGCATTTACGACGGTAGGGCCAATGTGTTTGTTATGCTAGGCCTATTTTAAATTTTGACCCTTTAATCATGGGAGCTTTTTTTTCTGTGTAAGAAGGCCTACGTTCATGATATTATTCAAATCAATACCGTAACATGTACCCTGATTTCATACTCCATCATGCGGCTAGTGCATGCTGTATCTGCCATAGCAATATTGAAAGCGGGGTGGGGGGAAATGTTGGCCCGTGTCCTCCTGTCGGTCAAGTCGAAAAATAAAAAAAAAAGGGACAAAAATGAGAGTTAAAGAGTTGGCGATCCAGCAGTGGGAGAAAGGAGCTCAATTGTTTACCACTTATGGTGGGGCGGAGATGGGCGTGGCGGCGTGAACTTCATAATTGTCCCCCCGTCAGTCAGAAACTCTCTGGATCCGCCCCTGATCATAGAACAATATACAACTAAAGTTTATTGTTTCAATAACATTTATTGATTTCGTTTCATATATGTATTGTATTTATATTGCAGATTATTGTTACAATTAAGTTTAATTTGTAAGGCCCTATAAAAAAAATGTTTAGTTTATCACACCCTATCTAGGCTGGGAAAATGATGAGGAAGGGAGGCTTAAAAAAATCGTGGCTAAAGCCAACACCCCAGGGTTATGTGCTGGTGCATTGATATTCAAAGTAAAACATGATTGAGATAATATAAGCAATATCTACTAACTATTTACTAAATAATATAAAGAAATAATATTTAAAAAAAATATAATATTTCAAAATGTACCGGTATATATTTTTTTAGGCCTATTTAAAAATATGTTTTTTTTTTTCAATACCATAGAAGACATGCCCGCGAAGGTGATAAACTAATATTTTTTTTATTGGGCCTAACCTGTCAATTAAAATAAAAATGCCGAAGAATCTATTATTGTATGACTACATGCCAAAACTCCTATTCAGTGACAATTTCACGTTTTTGGTTAGTGTTTCCTAAATAATGGCACCCCTATTCAGTTTAATTATATTGTAAGGCCCTATAAACAAATATTTAGTTTAACATCCCCTATCTAGGCTGGGAAAGTGATAAAAGAGGGAGGCTTAAAAAAACTTATTTTGCTATTTAAGCCAATTATCATATCACCCTAGGGCTGTTTGCTGGTGCATTGATATTCAAAGTAAAACATGATTTACTTGAATTGAGATAATATACCGGTAAGCAATATCTACTAACTATTTACTAAAAATATGAAAAAATAATATTAAACAAATATTTCAAAATGTATATTTCTTTAAAAGTTTTTATATTCCAAAAATATATTTTCTTTTCAATACCACAGAAGACATGCGCGCGGGGGTGATAACTATTTTTAATTTTTTTTTTATTGGGCCTATCCTGTCAATTAAAATAGAAATGCTAAAGAATCTATTATTGTATGGCTACATGCCAAAACTCCTATTAAGGGGACAATTTAACGTTTTTGGTGAAAATATGGCACCCTTATGTAGAACTTTAGTCCCGGATAGGGGTTTCACTATGCAATAAAAATGGAAAACGTACGACATTGCATTTCCACTTCTGCAGCTGCTGGTACGACGCGTACACGACACGACGTGTGAATCGGGATCGAATGCAATCGTTGAGGGCGCCTTTAGGCGGTAGTTCAAAAAAGATAGGAAGATGACTATATTTTGCGTAATGTTATATTCAGTAAATAAAAGCTGTTAAATAAAGGTTTGTTATCTTGCATACCTTTCATGTGACTATAATAGTGAGCGTAGGCCTACGCAAGAGAAAGCTGCACTTCAGATTATTGTTAATTATAATAGAGCCTATCCTAAGATCAGGCTTAGGCCTAGGCTGACCCTAGCTAGGCCCCTAGCTTGCTAGGCTGGGCTAGATTAGGCCTAGGGCCTAGGCTACTGCCTGTATCTAATGCAGGCCTAGGCAAGGCTAGAAAAGTGCCTGAGCGTAAGGTAGCCTAATGGTTTTACCTTTAGTGAGTCTTACCTTTTGTGATAATAGGAGGCAGAGAGCTTAAAACTCGTGTTGGATGCCCCCTCTCATATTATAATAATAATAATAAAATGTGTTGGTTGTGTAGTGTGCTTTTGAAGGTGTTTTTTAATTAAAATTTTAAGCCCCATTTTCCTAGCAAGAAATATTTCACAAAAAAAAAGATAATTTTTAGAAAAAAAAAGCATATGCATTACTTTAATTATTATAAACCATGGAAAAATATTGGCATATATTTTAATTTTACGCCAAATGTTAAAAAAAAAAAGCTGTGGCTAGAGATACTGTACCGTATCGGAACTTCCGATTGCTAAAGCTACGGTAAATGATATTACGTCATGATTAGCCAATAGAAATGACCAACTCGATTTTGGCTTTTTTTGCAAAGTCGACGTTGCGATCATGAGAAACGTGTGGCGCGAACAGTTACGATAAAATTTATGTCATAATAATAGGCCCATTTCATGTACTTCGATTGGGGCTTATCACAATGTTTGGGTTAAAAGTCCTTTCTGTTATTCTTGCGTATTTTATGGTCTACCATAGAGAATGGTCTACTTAGGCTTAGGCCTAGGGCACAGGGAGAATAGCCACCTAGGGGCTGATGCTTATTATATTTATAGGCGTACTACTAGGCTAGGCGCGCCTAGTACTGTAGTGCTACTACTAGGTGCCTAGCCTAAGCCTATAGAATAGTAAGCACTAGTTATTATTGCTGATTGAAATACCAAGCAACATGGCGATTGTAATTATCAGTGAGAGTAAACTTTATTTGTAGTAGTAGTATAATAGAATAGGCCTACAAGAAATTAGTATGCACAGTAGTAGGGGCCCGGTAGAAGGCCTATGCCTGGCTTCTACTATTAAAATAGTTTACTCAGTCGCTTGATGTCGCCAAATCTAGCAAAACTGCTATCCTTTTTATTTGCTATAGGGCCTCGGGCTACAGAATATTAATCACAGCTTGTCGTTCTTGCGAACGAACGAAATTTCTTATCTTCGATCGTTGCTAAAACCTAAAACACACACTCACCACTCTTGCAGCAGCAGTGCACTGAATAACGTCACGCATTTATCTACGTTTCTATTGGCTAATCATGACGTAATATTATTTACCGTACCTTTAGCAATTGGAAGTTCCGATACGGTACCGCCACGGCGAAAAAAAAAAGAAGAGAAATAGAAACTAGGCCTATTTCTCATAGGAGATTACCATTTTCTCATCAACTTCTTCATTACAATACTAGGCAAATTCAGAGGTTGTAGGTCGCATCCGCTGGAATGATCTCCTTTTTTTTGTATTCTTTATAAAGTCAATAAAGTGCGCCCTCTCAAGATCTCGGTCAGAATAATTTTTCAACAAATTTGAAAATTCAAATGAAATATTATACTGGGTATTTCACAATAATAATAATAATAATGATAGTGTAGTTTTATATAGCGCCATATACATCTAACATAAGATGCTCAGGTTAATACTAGCAACGGAAAATACCATGTCGGCCCTTAACAGTAACCTAAATCGAGGTAAGGCTAGGCCTAGCCTAGCATTGTTGATAGGCTAATATTTTTGGTGCCTACCATATTTCTTCACAAACCTATCGCAAAATCAAACATAAAAAATTCATCTGCATTTAATTTTTGTGTGGAACACAAAAAAATCAAATTGCAATCTGCAATTTTACATTTTTTCATGTTTAGGAATGTATAAATTCAGTTAAAATAGCCGTTTCTTATTATATTCATAAATCTTTATAAAATATATACCTTACCTTACCAGGTTAATCTTTGTCAGTTCATAATGAAAGTCCTCCAGGTATCCTTATCATCCATGAGCACCTTTAACTCATCAGTAGCTGGTCTTCCTCTACTGTGCTTCCTATGTCGAGGTTCTCAAAACAAAAAATCAGATTTTTCTTAACTGAAATTTTGCTATGAATGAGGCTTTAACCCATCGCAAGGCTAGTTAGGCTAGGGGCACATGAAAACGATGGTATGCTTCAATTGACTTCAAATATAGTTTCATATTAATTAAACAGAAAGAACACATTGATGTGAGTAATCTAATGTTTAGGTATCAAGAATTGGTTGAATATTTGCAGAGTTACCGGTAAGCTAAATTTCATAAACATAAATTTTTTTCCAGATTTACACTAGTTGGCCTGTCTTAAATGTGTGACCAATGCATGCACCGTGCGTACAGCCTAGCTAAGCCTAGACGTGTTGTCTCCTCTCTGCACGCGTTCTGGTAGGCTACGCGATGACACATCACTTGTATTGCGGCCTAGAGTGGCTCAGACTCTACGTAGCCTAGGGTATTTAAACACTCAGTTTATTAAATAACATCAAAAATATTATTACATGAAAAAGTTAATACATATATATTTATCTTTGATATTTTCATAATTTTTATATGAGAATAAGTTATTTTTTATTTTCTTTTTTGTTTTTTATTAAAATTGGAGACGTTTTAAACATATCAATGCAAAGTTTTTTGAAGGTAGGATTTCCATATTCTGAATTATCGGAGAACATCGTCCGAGTGTTTGTTTTTTAGTAATATCCAATTGTCCAGTAAAGCCGTAGGCAACTGATTCTGGTAGCTCCTTTTATTGGTCTTAGCAGCCCTCGGTGGGAGGGTTGAAGGACACCCAGTTAGTAAGAAAAAGAACTACTGAACAAAGGGCGGATGAATTTCTCTGAGCCAAACGGCCAACTAGGCTTTAGATTAAGGAGTACAATAGAACTTTGATTGTTTAGTTTTGACCAATGGTAATTCATTTTGTCTTTTCCTACAAAAATTGTAAAGCTAATGAACAGTATTGAAAAGTAGTGATTTGGGGGATGGTTCGCATGTTTCACTTTGGTAAGATATCCCCTGAACATGTTAACTCTACTCTCGTCTTGTCGTCTCATCTCGTGTAGTAGATTTAGAGCTTCATTGTACCATGAATATAGCTATAAAATTCTAAGAGAGCACTTCTGGAATTGTTCCAGTTGGTAAGACTGACCTTCATTAATACTTGTGCCCCAACCTAGGATTACACTTGTTTAAGTTAGACAAATTAAAACTGAGGGTTATCCCTAGCAATTTAGTAGTGTAAACACTCTTAAATAGTATCTTCAACAATAAGGGGAACACATGGAGTTGCTGAATTCCTTTAGTTTTCTTAACATTAGTTTTATTTCATATTGTTACCAACAGCCCATTCGACAACTAGACCAACATCGTCTTGGTGAGCACTATTGCTGTTCTTACATATTCTTTCACTTACAATGTCATACATAAAATTTAACTGATAGGTTATAGAATTCAAAATGTTGTGATCTATATATAGTAATCATATGCTTTTTCAAAGTCAACTAGGATTAAAATCTCCGACTGTCAGTGGCTTGACATCATACAAATTTATCACATAAAAATGATACTGTTGACTGAGCTTCAGATGTTCCCTCCCATAGTAAAGCCCTTGGTTGTACTTATATTGCACTATAAATTTGTTATGATTTTCTGTATTAAGATTTAAAAAAATTAATGTCAGTGATGTTTTCCTCCAATGTTTTGTTTTATATTCCTTTTGAAAGCATATGGTTAACTTACATGATTATAATATTGAAGAATAGGACTACAGCTTATGAATATCCTTGATACTTGATTGTCATGATTATTACCTTGTTGAAGTAGTTTCTTTTGTTAATTCTTCTATTGTATTCTATTTTATTGATGAAAGAACAAGCATGTCATATAATAGATGTAACATATAACTGCATGTGTATTATTACCACAATTTTAATATTAATATTAGTCAGTGCCTGATGATTATAATATGACTACATTAAAAATTGCTATTATTTTTATAAATCATCAAAGGTACATATACAATGTTTAAATAAGGACATGATGGAACATCCTAGGCTATCCTGTAGCTTTTCAACGAATAAAGTCCTATAAAAGTCATTGTGTAATAAAATGCCTCTGACGGGATTCAAACCTGCGACCTCTCGCTGACAAGGCGAGCGTCATAACCACTAGACCACGAAGGCTTCATGGTTGAACAGGTCCAAATAATCGTCGGGAACATTGTATTACACAATGCTACGCCTCAAGAGGGTGTTCAGCCAGATAAATCTGGCAATACGGCTAGAAATACTGTCGTATATTATATATGATATTGAATGGAGTATACCGTTAACACTGTTAAATAAATATAATATAAATCATCAAAAGTACCTATACAGTGTTTAAATAAGGACATGTTTCACAATTCTGATGGATTATTTTTTTAAGGTACATATATTTAGAAATGTAGTAGGAATAGATACGTGGTATTTGTTTTGTTGGTAGAGAATGCATTTTCTAGACTACAACTGTTTAAATATTGAAATTGTTGTAAAAGTGTCACTCCTTTACCTTTCAAGTGCCCAGGGGACTAGTCTTATGTACTGTACAGCATTTCGTGTGTAAGATTTACTTCACTGTTTGGCGTATCCTTCGCCCTAGTGCCTAAAGCTTAATAATAAAAAAAATTGTGTTTACTTTCACAACACAGTTTTGGGACAGCATTATTATGTGTGACAATAAAGTTCTAAATCTGAAGAATATTTCAATCATTTATTTTATTTTTTTATTTTATTATTTATTTATTTACAAAATAGCAAATGGTGACACCTATCGTAATCTGCAACTTGTAAATTATACGCATGTGAACTACACTTGTGAAAGAAAAGAAAATAAAAATTACAATAATGAGCTTATCAACAGAGGATGCCTTTGATGCAGTTTGGAAAACGTAGGCCTACTATTATATTCTGCATGAGTGTTCTTTAAGTGTCGTTTGAATGTCATTAAAACTAACTTTTTTTTGTTTTGGAGGGTGGGGGTAATTCATTCCATGTGATAGGACCACATTCAAAAATGGATTTTGCATGGAAAATTGTGCATGGAAAATTGTGCAAGGACAATTGTGATGAAATGGAGATGATTGTCTTGTAGAATAATGATGGTTTTTGTAGAATACATCAGCTAGGGTGGATAGTATGCAGTCAGTGTTGACAAGAAACATAAAGCAACAGACAGACACTCAATTAAAAGTGTTTCTGTAATGTAATTTTCGAGTATGTTTATTATTTTTCAACAGATCTCTGACAACAATGGAGAACAACGTTAGTTGTATGTGTGTTTTTCGGGGTGTGGAATATGTTGTAACAGCAACAAGACTCAATGATGACCAGCTGATGGTAGAGGTAGAGGACCGTGTCACTGCAGACCAATGGCGTAATACTTTTGATGCAACTTGTAAGTTCTTTCAACTGTAATATTACCCTTGATGGGTTTGTATGGGATTGGGGAAGGACATCGTTAATTTATTATCTTTAGGCTTATAATTTTGATTTATTTGTGGTCTAGTAAGCAACCTTTCCAAAGGTCAAGAAATATTTTTATAAAACAACCATCTTTACATGGAGGTGAATATAAAAAGCCTACAGGTTTAAAATAGAGTAATAATTTCATTATATGTTGTATTGATTATTTTTACCTAAACCCCAATATCACATTAAGTTTGGGCTACCTCTAAACAACAACTTTAGCTGGACCCGAGGGTAACTGCTTACAAGAGGTTTAACTGTACTCATGATCTACAATATTTCCTCCTCATTGACAGACTTATCCAAGTTGCAGTGCCATGGTTAGGCATCACCTATCCATTGCAGTGCCATGGTTAGGCATCACCTATCCATTGCAGTGCCATGGTTAGGCATCACCTATCCATTGCAGTGCCATGGTTAGGCATCACCTATCCATTGCAGTGCCATGGTTAGGTATCACCTATCCATTGCAGTGCCATGGTTAGGTATCACCTATCCATTGCAGTGCCATGGTTAGGTATCACCTATCCATTGCAGTGCCATGGTTAGGCATCACCTATCCATTGCAGTGCCATATGGTTAGGCATCATGAGAGGCTTGCCTTCTTCTGCCACCCTTAAAAAAGAATCACATTTTTAAAAGGTGGGATTTTATATAAATGTAAATAATGAACAACTGAAATCCTTAATTTCATGTGCTTCAACATTTTTTCATCATGTTGTCTGATTGGCTTTCAACTAAGGAAAGATGTTGGTTGTCAGTGAAGATTACAATTGTTGGAAGATCATATTTAAATGAGTGTTCTCAATGCTACATCCCTAATAGTGACTCAGTGTGGATCACAATCAATGTGAGATATTGAAATTCAATTGCATAGCCTAAAAAAAAAAAACACCCATATTTTTCCCACCTGTCCCTCCTGTTCAATTTTGTTTCTATGAAAGTTCCAATTTGGTTGTGTGAGTATTGCTATAAAGCTACAGATGACTTTGATGATCAGTAGTCACGCAATCTCCATCCATTTGAATGATGATTGTGTGTGGTTGACTTGATCAATGAGTTAATAGTAAAATCGAATACAGCTGCCAGAGTTATTACAAAAACTAAAAGACACGAGCACATAACACCCATCCTCAATGAGCTCCGTTGGCTTACAATTGAAAAACGCATCCAGTTTAAAATACTATTGTTGACCTTTAAGGTCAAACTGCACACATCACCAACTAAAAACATATTTTCTTAGGTTAGGTTAGGAAAAGTGAGAATCGGAAAGAGAAGAAAAGAAAGGTAAGTAAAATGAAAAGAAGGAAAATTGAGTTAGAAAGGTAAATTATACCGAAAAGGAAAGACAGAAACAGAAGGAAATAAAAAGGTAATTAATAAGAAGAGGTAAGGAAATAGATAGAAATGGAAAGGAAAGAAAGGAAATGGAAGAAATTAAGAACAACGGAAAATGAAGTACATGAAAAGAAAAAAAAGGAAAAGAATGATGATAAAAATTATGATGAACTAGAAAAGAAACAAAAGAAAAAAGAAGGAAAAAAAAAGGAAAGGAAAAGAGTAGAAAGATTAAGAAGGAAAATTAAGGGAAAGAAAGGAAAAAAATGAAAACGGAAAGGTAAAGCAAGGAAAAGAAAAAGAAAGAAAGGGAAAAGGGAGTAAAGAAACGGAAAAAAAAAAACCGAAATGGTTAAGAAAGGGAAATGAAAAGAAAGCAAACGAAAAGGTAATTAAATGAGAAGAAAGAAAACGAAAGGGTAAAGAAAGGAAAAGAAAAAGAAAGAAAACGGAAAGGTAAATAATGGAAAAAAGAAAAAGAAAGAAAACGAAAGGGAAAGAAAGAAAAGAAAAAGGAAGAAACTGAAATGGTTAAGAAAGGAAAAGAAAAAGAAAGAAAACGAAAAGGTAATGAAATGAGAAGAAAGAAAACGAAAGGGTAAAGAAAGGAAAAGAAAACGAAAGGGTAAAGAAAAATAAAGAAAATGAAAAGGTAAAGAAAGAAAAGAAAAAGAAACAAAACGAGGAGGTTAAGAAAGAAAAAAAAGGAAATGGCAAAGAAAGAGAAAGGAAAGAATAAGAAGTGTCGAAGTGAAAGAAAAGGAAAATATAATCAGTGAAGAAAAGGTAGAGAAAAGGGAAAACATGAAAATTGGTAGAAAAATGAAAAATTTAAGGAGGAAAAGGGGTATGGGAAGAAAAGGTAAAGAAAGAAATTACAGGGAAGTAAAGGAAAAGAGAGACGGGTCGTAAGTATGAAAAAAAATAAAGGAAAATGAGGAAAAAAGAAATGGAAAAAAAGAGTAAAAGGTAAGGAAGGTAATACGGCAAATAAATATTTAAAATTATTGAAAAAAAAAAAGTAAATAAAATTCTGTATTTCAAATTATTTTATTTATCAACATTATATATTTATTTTTATTGTTGTTATTCATTATTATTACCAATTATTTTTGTTAGGTGAAACTTTTGATAATTTTTCCCACACCATGCTGTAAAGTGCAGAGGTATTTTACATTATGCGCTATATATATTGACAATTATTATTATTATTATTATTATTATTATTACAGTAGTAGTAAAACTTTATTTATTCACGAAAAACAAATCAACAATTACAATGCTTTTTTCATTATGGCTGTGAGATACCTTATTTTAATACAATTAATAAAAATTACACAAATTACAGTACATCATAAAAAGCAAAAGTTGCCTAAATCAACTTTGCCTATCTTGAATAGTTTCTAAATCGATCTTATTTTACATGCCAAATTGTTGTGTTTCCATTAAATAACGACCTGTAACTTAAATTTTATTTCCTAAGTCGAACAATTTTTCAATGCCATTTTGGATTCGACGTAGGCAATTTCAACTGTAATTGTGATCAATACAGACCAGTGTTAGATATCTTGTTAATGTTAGGTTGACACAAGCACACATTCACAAACAACTACTTAAACATGTCACAGCTGTGGTTTCCAAAATAATTACGGTTTATTGTCTTACAACTTTAACATGTAAACATTATATAATATCCATCTGCATTGTGGGAAACTCGTTCAGTGTTAATACTCAATGTTAATACATGACAACCAGTTGAATTAGAAAATAATATTAAACTGCAACCATGTGCATCTAAAGTGCTTAAAACGTGAGCAGTTCCCCAGCCTTAGTGCCATTTGTTTAGTTACTGGAATGTAACTATATGAATCCCCGTTCAACCTTGATGCCTATATGGTATTCTATTCTGTGTAGCCACAAATACAGTTAGTGACTCGATCGTAGGCCAGTGATCTGAAGAGAATATTGTTTTCTGTCTGCAGCATCTTCATTTGATCACACTTGTAAATCCATGATATTGAATTGCAGGTGTAATACTCAGTAGGCTCAACTTTACCCAAGAATTAAAAATACTAAATTATCATCGAATAAACGAATGAACAATGAAATTTTTTTTTTGCCAGTTGCTAAAAATACATTTGATAAATGACATTAAAATATGGTTAAACACAAAGTATTAAAATAAAACAATAAAACTAAAAAATATGACAAATAAATATATTACATGAATTAAGTATTTATCTAGAGGGTGCGCTCGCTTACCCTCTCGTATGTGAGTGTTAAAATTAGTTTTTATGAAAAGAATTGCATTTTGTTTCATTTAATAATTCAACCAACATTTACAAGTACAGTGACAATAAAATACAATAATGTATGTGGAAAAAAAAAGAAATGAAAGGTGATGGAGCTTATGCAAAGCAAGGCACTAACTTCATTAATTTCTTCTATGGTTTTGGATACATACTTTTAATTAAAACATGAATCTGAAGGAACTACAATTTCTATGTAGTTGCTGCCTTAATAAATTCTGTTTCATATGGCAAGCACATATTAATAATTAACACAATAAATTTATTCCATTATCGCAATAGTAATACTCAGTAACAATGATCTATGATACAGTAATAATCACCTAATGACGCTTGAAGCAACAAGTTGAGCATTAAGATATTTCTAAAAAGAGAACTCTTCAGAACTTCCTATGTGGTGTACTCTCAATCAATAATAATGATGTTATTTTAGAGTTATCAAAATTTGAGCCACAGTATGGCTTTTGGTTACTGTAATACTTCCTTCTGAGTCACACATTCAGTACTACATGTAGTATGTCAAAAAAAATAGTAGTAATAGAATTATAATGCTAGATATAATCATTCATAAAAATGCTTTGGTGCTGTTCTCAGCGTAGGCGCAATATGTCTAATTTATTTTTATTGTTGCAAAAGAGGCAGTAAATTCTAGTCGATACTGATTACAGTTGTCTAAAATAAATTGTTCTGGATTGCACTCATTGCTTCACAATGCATATCTTCTCATAAGTCGTGTTATATTTTTAAGCATTATTACAGTAAGTTGTATCACAATAATTTTTATTATAAATTTTTATGTTTAAATATTCGCGAATCCAATGACCAACTATCATACATATATTGGAGTAGTCTTGCCGGTATGTTTGTGTTGTTAAACTAAGCTTTATATTTCAGTCTCTTTTTTTGATATGCCTATGGCTGAGTCATTATACCATAATATCTTCTCGGATATAAGAACTTAAACCGTAGGCCCAGTGTACACGATTGGCTTACATGCACAAAACCAGTACATCTTTTGAGATGAGAAAGGGATCACCCTGGTGTAATGGTTGGTGCAGCCCCTGTTTTGGATTGACGAAAATAGCTGATACGTCCAGTTTACCAGGCAGCTCAGACACAAAGGGGAGAAGCTAGTCCACACCTCAAGAGCTTTCAGACTTCGGTATAAAGCACTATATAAATCTAACTACGTATTACTTACATTATATACAGTACTACTAGGTCATTGTGAAGTTGATTAATACATCCATCATGGAACAAAGATAGTATTACATCAAAGGATTAAGAATTCTTTGATAGCCTGGTGTTCTTTGGAGGAGAGTGGTTAGATTCTTTATTGTTATTGATATTTTAAGATACTAAATATTTTCAATCTTCTGAGTTGCACTGCACTTCTCTTGGTTCATATGTTTATCTTTTCCTGGGTCACATGTTTAAGGATATGGAGCACACACAGATTTCTATAGCCTTTGGTACATCATACTGTATGCATCCACTGAGTATATTATTATGCCTAATATATATTATTAGATTAAATTGTGAACATTTCGACAATCAGCTTAATACCATAATGCAAGTAGCAAGTATGGTAGGAGGCTAAATATATTTTCACACATCAGAGTATTTGGGACCTTTGGCATTTTACCATTTGCTTAGAATTAGTTAATACTAGAAACTTGCTTAGTGTCATTTTTCAAACTTGAATTTTCATCAATAACAGTGCCTAGTAGCAGAATAACCTACAGTAAGGAGGACAAGCAGATCTATGTTACGACTAATGAACTGGATATTACAGTTCAGTTTCAATTAAAAAAATCTACAGCAACATTATTTTCAGAAAAATATTAGCCAGCTTGGAACGATAAAATATTTAATGATGCAGAAAGATGAATGCTATAGAGCATTGACCCCTTTTGTATTTCAGGGTTATATCCGATAGTTAAGATTCATTGCTATCTCACAGATTGCCCGCTGGAACTGAACTCATAAAACATTTATACACTACACCTTCAACACTATAATGTTCAAGCTTCTAAGTAATTACAGTGATCAATGGCATTGGATGCTTTTTAGATTTTACAAGGCCTTAAGCATTTTGATAAATAATTTAGTACATTATGTTGATAGTTCTATAATTTTTATCTGAAATCATATTGTTAACTATTGAATATGATATCGTACATTTTTGTTAAATATGTATAAACCATAAAGTACAACCTTGGAAAATATACCGTAGGTAAAAAGTGTAAATAAAGGTAGTTATTAATGGTGGAACTATACCATCCTTTTCTATTAGAGTACAGTTTTAGGTACTTAATCTGTCAAGTGTCAGAAAATATAGCAAATGATTGGCTATATGAGTGAGTGGTTAAATTACAGATGGAGCCGTTATCTTCAACAGTGTAATAATCATTCAATAATGCGCTTTTTTAATCTGGTCATTCCATGTCAAATCACCCAAGAGAATGAAAATTTTTAACCCGACCGACTCCAATTTTGATGAAAATTTGTATACATGTTGGGTCTGGCATCTAACATGCAAATCTCAAATTTAGCAAAATCGGATCAATGTTTTGGAAGTTATGATCCGCCAAAATATGGCAAAATTGGCCAAAACGGGTGTGACCGCCAACATTTAAACCTTATTATCTTGACAATGGGTTGACTGATATTCATAAAATTGGTATTTCTGAAAATATTGATCCGATTTAGCTAAAATTTGAGATTTGCGCGTTTGATGCCAAACCCAACATGTATACCAGTTTTCATCGAAATCGGAGTCAAACCCTATGGGTGATTTGACATGGAATGACCCAAGTTTCGCTTCAAAATGGATGGCCACTACCTGGCATCCCTGTTAGAAAAATTCTAGAATCACCCCTGTAATTTCAGTGTTTCATAATACATTATTTTGCACATGGGCAAACTACTAATGTGATTTGTTGTTTCTCTGAGACCCTTGGAAGAAATATCAAAGGCAATCAATTACAGAAATACAGAATAAAAATGATTCCTGCATTTTGGAAGCAATCCTGGGTACCTAACTTACTGTAATGGTGGATGGGGAATACGGATGATTATTTTCTCCACAAAATAGCGTCGAGCTCAGTGGCTGCCCGGCTTTAGAATGCTGCCTCTCTTTCTAATACCTTCTTTTTTATTTTTAAGATTCAGGTACTTACAGTATTATTTTAAATTTCAGATATAGAAGACTTAACACACAAAACAGGAAATTTCAAACAGTTTTCAATATTCGTAAATATGCTTAATTCTGCTCTTTCCAAGGTAAGCCTCTCCTGATTTGCAATTATGCTTTTTGTAATACTATATCAAGTATTCAAGCCCACACTTGCTAAAATGTGGCAGAGTTAATCTTTCTATTAAATTAAGTAAGTGAAACCAAGCATTTGAGATAAGATGCCAAAAACAAATAAATCACCATGACAACATGACATCCACAGATCCCAGGGATAATGTAAGTCTGACTGCAGGCTTAACAACAGGCTTGGTACAGGCTTAGCTGTATAAAAAATAATTAAATATGTATAATAGGTAATACAATGTTTACAAACCACTCAAAACTATGAGCAAACCAATAAATGTGAAATTAGTTATTATTTATTACCGTAAACCATTAATCAACATGTCTATGTTTGCAGTGGACCATTCCGCTAAGTCCCGCCCCTTTGGTATTGCTGCTGGTCCCATAAAACGATAGCGTAAATGTGTGTAAACATGCGTTCGTGGGACAACATGTTTGTTTGACACGCGCATATTCCTGGCCCGGTTCTGTTTGGTAATTTGTTAGGTTTAAACGACACTCTGGAAAGGTCCATAAAGCCGGCACTCATCGGCCGACGCGATTCTACGAAGAAAGCAATGCGACGACGCGCGAGCAACGGATCATCATTAATGATGATCGTCTGTCGCTCACAGGGAGCAAAGTTGGATTCATCGTGCGACAGTCATACGACCGACCGTTGTGCCATGCAGTGAGTGCCCGGCTTAAAGGATACTGATGTTCTTGATTGTTAGTAATAATTAGTAATTGCTAAGTTATTTTAAGAAGTTATTGTTTCATATGTGAATACTAGGAATTTTAATTTAATATTCTCATTTCTTATGCATTTTCCATCCTATTTTTCATTACTATAATTAATTTTACAATGAATTTAATGTTACTATATAAATCTGGTTAGAAAGTAATTAATTTGTATGCTAAATTTCTTGATTATTCATTTTCCTTGGCAGCAGCTAAAGTATAATCAATCTTCACTTGTTGTAGTCCATAATTTTCATCATCTTCAGAAGAGTATGAAACATAGGCCTTCTTCTCCTGGAAAATTAAACAATAAAATGTTGACTTGTGTCATTTTGAGTTCATTATTTAATCTTTTTCATAAAAGATGCATATGCCAGCCGATTCTTCCTAAGTTTTTACAATTTTTGTATATATAGGGAATATGTATTGGTGACAGGACCAGTCATCAAGCATCTGATCAGAATCCCCTAATCAGGTTTGGTGACGGCATCATTAATGGTGATGTCACCGAAACTGATACCTAAAGATCTATTAGGTAGAATTGGGTGCATATATGCCTACACTTTCAACCCCCTAAAGTGTTTGTTTTATATTATTTTGAAAATGTTTAAAATTATGGATGGCTCCCTTAATAACTTAATAATTTTTTTCTAAATTGTGTAATTTCCCTTAAATTCCTCATTGCAGGTGTACTGTACATATTCAGTATAGTGTTACTTATATAATAATATATTTTTGAATAAATGAAAATAACATATGGTAATAATTATAATTGTTATTTATTTATTAGGCAGTAGACATGACAATATAGACAAAAGAACAATTTGCTGATTTATTCAGATAGTAATTTTTTCTTTCATTTATATTAAGTGCTCATTATTACTGTACTTTATACCAGAATAGTGTAAACATGTGCAGAGCTCTTCTTCATGCCTCATGAGAGGTACACAAAACATAGAAATAAAAAATAGTACTCTTCCAATGAATCAGGTAATAACCTGTTTGTTATCATAAGGATGAAATAGGATGAGACATTTTCATTGGAGGAGAAATTATGACATAACGATTGACTAAATAAGGTAATAATTATAGTTCCATTATTTTTTTGGATGATAAGCTGTTAGCTCATGGGCTTCAAGGTCTTTTTAAATAAATGTACATTCAATAATTGAAAGATTAAGATGATAAATTGTAAATATATTAAGTACAGATTTACAGGTACTATATTTCAAGGAATTGTGCATACCAATCAAAAATGACAAAAAAAAAATGCACAATAAGTAATCATTAAAAAAGAAAAAAGAAAAGAAAAATACACTTTAGTAATCATAATTAGGAAAATCAGGAAATGGACTTTTAGGTATCATAAATATTAAATAAAATGGGAAAATTTCATTGGAGAAGAAATGATGACATAATGATTAACTGAACAAAGAAATAATTGTGTACCCTTGTTGCATAATTTTTTTTGACGAAAAGCTCTTCAGGTTGTTTGCATCATCCTTGTAATTGTAACAATTGACTGAACAAGCTAATAATTGTATACCCAAGTTGTAATTTTTTTTTTTTTGGATTATAAGCTCATGTGCATCAATGTCCTTGTAAATTTTGTAAATTTACATTCAATAAGATTGAGATGATAAATTGTTAATAAATTAAATACAGATAAGGTACTATATTTTCCATAATGAAATGTACCAACAAGATCAGCAAGAAATGAAAACAGACATTTGAAAATGTATGGATGTACATGATGACAATTTTTCTCATAACAAGGTTAAGTTTGATATTCTAATCAATTTGTTTTCTCTTCAAACAGACTAGTGAATCAGTTAACCTTGACCTTCTGACGTATACTGACCTTGAATCTTTACGGAATCGCAAGGCAGGTGTTACTAGCAGGAATATTCCAGGTCCTCAGAAGGCTGCCCTCAATTCCAAACGTTATTTGATTGTCACATACACAGTTGAATTTGACCGGTATGAAAATTATTATTTTTTTTAATTTTGAAAATTTATGGGGTATTTTGTTGGTGGCTTATATTTTTATTTTTTTTGCCAGTATTTTTTATACAAGAACAAATGTCATGTTATTAAAGTTTAATTTTTTCATTATAATTTCAATGGTTTAAATGATAGATTCAAGATTAAAATTCAGTTATTTATTGCTACAGAAACAATCTTGGGTTATTATCTGCCAAACAAGCAGCATACATAAGAAAATACAAAATTAACAAAATATTCTACCCCCTACCTCACCAAAACTAAAATGCTATTTAAATACCTTTAGGATGAGAAGAAGTATACCGGTAAGCTAGTAATAAATTAGGATGGATTCAACCCCTACAAAAACAAGAATACCTACCAACAACCTTATTACTAAACTAATCCTTAGGCTAAATTCAGGAATTATTTCTTAAAACCAACCTACTGTACTCAGTAATTAGTATTTTTTCAAGGCTAAGGATTTTCTAAAATGGTAACGCTTGCTATGGGATGAAAAAACAAGATGTTTGCTATTGAATAAGAATGTATTGAATTTAAATCAATTATTAAACTGTCTATCTTATGTTATAGAATCCACTATCCTTTACCATCACCGTCCCAAGGCAAACCAGACCCCTGTCTCTTATACCCATCTAAATGTGTATAAGAGACAGCCCTAACCCTAACCCTAACCTAACAAAAAAAAAATTACATTTTTGACTCAACTTTTTAAC